GAAGCAAGTTTGGCCTGCGGTTAACTTCAATCCCAGAGATGTGAGTGCATGCATGAAAACAGGATCTAGGCACCTCCTGGGTTCATCTAGATTTTTGATTAGAACCTATATTTGGTAGCAGATTTTATATACATCATTAGCAGCTTATATAGAGCACACGTGTAAGGTAGGTGTTTCCTCACAACATAAGATTTGAATTTAAAACAAAACAAAGAAGAGGAATATAACGTATCATAGCAGCATTACTGATTTTTGTCCTCCCTAAATCAGTCTAGAGTGAGAAAGTGTTTTCCTGCTTCCACAGATTTTTGAAGAACTAGTGTCCATGCGCAATACTTCACTTAGCTGCTTTAAAGGCCAGAGCTGCACTTCAGAATTATTTTAGAAAGGAAACAATTCACAGAAAAGCCTTTGAATTGGAAGCCTGCAACACACAAAAATTTAAGCTGAAGAGAAAAGAGAATGACTGAGTGCATCTAAACATAGAGGAATTTAAATAATTGCTTCAGATTTCAAAGACAGCAGAACAACAAAACTTGTCAAAAGATACACTAATTCAAAGCAAAATCATTTAAAAGTACTATCTTACTTAAGCATTGGCATATACACAAAATTAATGTGCAGTACTAAAGAAAGTAAATGGCTTTCTATTTAAAGAATATCTTTAGATCAAGGTTAACAGCTAAAATTTTATGATTTCTTGAAGATATAAAATCACTCTTTCATTCTTAAGTGGTTTTGGTGGAGCTTTGTCAATTTGGCTGTGAAGCTGCTGACAAGTCAGTCTCAACTTCTCGCCTGCTTTCCCTTTCTCATGCATTTTCATGAAAAACAATGACATTTCGTATTCATCTGAAAATTTACAAACACATCTTTAGGCCAAGGTTCCCTTGTAGATTACACAGGGAACTCTTAAGACTTCAGCTTCTGGTGATTCTGGTGATCTATCAATCTTTTTCTGAAATTACTTTTCAAGATTTATGGAAGACTTTTAAAAACAATTAAAACTGTTTGGACTGGGATTTCATAAGCACTCTCCGTTGAACTGATTGAAATTATGTGAGTCCAGTGCCAAAGCCATGCTATTTTAAGAATCCCATGGTAAAGAAAGGAAGCTGGTGAAATGTTATCTGATAATGCAAAGCAGGACTGAAATTATTGTAGAGGCAATAAAGGAAAGAGAGGTAAGGACATGACTAACTAGCATTTGTAGAAAGGCGGAAGGGAGTTAAATCTTGACCATACCTGGAAACTTTTCCACATGTCTTATATTAAAATAGTGGCCTCTATAACTAAAATCTACTTAAATATGTCACACAAGAATCTTAATCAAAATTTCAAACCCAGAAACCAAGTGAGTTTAAGGCTATGGTGCAATGATGTACCCTGGCACTGATCATCTGATCACTGGGAACCCTATTTTAGTATAATTTATTTTTAAGCATACATTTATCAGGCCAACAACTGATTGGGCAGTGTTATACCCTAATAAATAACTAAATGATTGCATGAAATCCTGATGCTCCACTAGACGAGAAAACTCTTTAAAAAAAAAAAAAATTATCAAATTTAGTAGTAAGGTCAAAGTAAAAAACTGAAGAATTTGACCTGTAATAGTTATAGTTGTCATCATAAATATTAGTCATTGTGGATAAGCAGTACTTATAAATATTGTTATAAGACAAAAGAGGGTGGAATTTATTTCAGTAACTGAGGTTTTAAAACAAAGTAATGAGTATTTGAGCAATAGTTGCAAAGTACTATATTTTATAGCTCTTTTGAGGTATATATTTATTTATACTTTAACGACTTCAAAGGAATTCATCTTATTTAGATGATAGGGGGCTCTTTATCCAGGACAGAAATCATTTGGGAGGGTGTCAAAGAAAGATATAAGTGAAGATGAATCCACATTTACATACACGCATCCTTGGACAACTGGCTCTCTTTATGCATAACAGCAATAGGAAAGGACTGTGATCTGTAGCACTGACAGCAGAGTGGTGCTTCGGTGCTTTCTCCACGCAGTGCTTAAGCAGTGACTTCTTTTACTTTAAAATCTTGCAATTCACTTTACCACAATTCTACTTACTTGGCCTTTGCTCAGGGGAAATGAAAGGCAAACAGGATGACAAGCAATGGTAAACAAATGTATATTTGAGGAATAATAAAATAGTTTTAACCTTGTGTTCTTTCATGGGAAGAAAGAAATAGCATAGAAATTCTATAAATCACTTGTTAGACTTTGAGTTTAACAAACAAATGAGCAATGCTTTTCTAACCACTACTTTACTTTTAAGTCACATTCATCATGATCTATTGTTCCTGCCTACAGAGTATAAGGACCAACAATAAATAGATCATTTCCCTACCTGTTGGTCTGGATAATGAATAATAACCATATATTTGGGGCTGTTTGTATTTGTCTATTTAGAAAGCACTTGATGTAGTGCCATATCCTATATGCAGCACATTAAAAGGTGTATGTTTTACTCTGTTGCTGGAGTATTTCAAAATTGCTTTTAGATGAGCAAGCTCATGTAATGGAGTAGCGAGCATGGAAAGGGGAATTACAATGCAGAGAGTCACCCGAGTTCTGTAGTGAGTGTAGTCAAAAGTGAGGCGCTCTCTGAAATGACAGTTTTAACTGCAACACCCATTTTAAGTGGTAAGAACCTCTCTGAAACAGTGGAAATCATCAGCAAAGAGTTTTCCAGCCGCAGAGTGCAATCCCCCTGGGTAAAGAGACGGACGTTGTGAATTTGATTGGAGAGGGAATGCTCCCTCATAAAAAATGACTACTCAAGTTGAGAGAAGGCTGTAAGATCAAGCCCACACCACGCATCAGCCAAGGACCTTTTGTGGCAAGATGTAACGGTTCAGTGTGTGTACAGAGGCATGCATGCAATGCTGTGCATGGTCCTCATACTCTAAAATCCTTGTCTGAAAGTCCTGTAACTGTAAATCCATTCTTACAGTTGAGTAAACTGAGGCTTAGAAAATCTAAGGGCCCTGTGGTTCAGCAAGTGCCTAATTTATCCTGGGAACAGATGGAAGAGAGTGGCTCTCAATTCACTACCCACAGTAGCAGTAAGAGATTTGCATCAGAGCTGAGAATAAAATTCTTCTCTAGCCATTTGCTCTAGCTATAAAATCACCCTTAAAAGACCTTTTGTTACTCTGCATGATTTGAAAGGTGATTGTACTCCACCACTTTAAAAGTTTTGTAGTGGAAGTACATTCTTCTCCTAAACTTGTAATTTAACCCCAATGTGTATTGGGTGTCTTCCCCCTTCTCCTCCATTAAAAACAAAATTGGGAAGTGCTCTGAACCTGTCAGTAAAGTCTGCTACTAAGACTTGAATGCTAAAGCTTGTAGAATCAAAGCCTTGGCAGCACCAACGATTTTGCCTTTGAACCACGTTCTTCTTTTCATGCGTTGACATAGGCGTGCCTTTCAGCTGCTCTTCAGCTACAGCTGTGTGCACTTGTATCGATAAACTTACCAAATAAACTCAAGCAAAATTGAATGTCAAAGGGTAAGAGATAAGCAACAAGACATTAAATAAAAAATGAAAGAAAAAGAATGGGAAGTCAAGTATTTTTAAAATCAGGCCAAACCACTGCAAATATTTTCTCAAACAGACCATAGCACTTGGTAGGGAATGTAGTCGTGATTAATATCTGTGTTTACTGAATAGCTTTCGTCTATCAGACATTTATAAAGCACACAGGGTATGTGGGAACTGAATATGTTTCAATATGCTTTTGTTATTATGTGATACCTTACAGTTTATGCAGGATGGGGTGTTTCGCAGAGTACCTGTGTTCTGTCGTTTTACAAATGGGTCGTCCCAAACGCCTGCGAGAGTTTTCTTGGGCTGATTGTCCAGCGCATGCTGGTTGTGTTTGTTTTCTTGCTGTGCAGTTCCCTGTCTTGCTGCATACCACCTCTCTGTTGTTTGGGAGAATGCCACTATACAGCACACCTCACTCCGAGAACTGTCATTGGGAATATGTTTGACAACCTTAAAATGAGATTTCAGCCTCCCCCACCCCCGCCATGACGGTATTTATATACTGTCCAGTATTTATATGCTGCATACGTTTCCTGCCGTATGGTCAGGGCACTAGAGGAATAAAACAGTTGCAAGACACTGAGCAGCCTCTGAGGAGATACCGTAGGCAGAGAGTAAAGACAAGCACCTGTCAAATACTTTGACAAAGCCTTGTGCCTGCAGAATGTTTTAACCTGACTGGCCAGGCATGCCAGTAGGCTGGGGAGAGCAACAACAGGTGATGGAGGTTAGCATCTCAAATGAGAAGGACCTGGAGAGTACTTGGATGGCTCTCAGCAAACCTTCTGAGCTTGTTTGGATGCTGAGGTGAGGGTAGAAGAAGGAGATGTTACAGTAGCATCTGTTAGAAGTCACCATGGGAGAGTCCTATTTTAAGGAGCAAACTACCTGACAGGTAGTACAAGGCGAAAGTGCTGAAGACAAAAAGCTAACCTGCTTTTGTCCCAGCAGCTGTGTAAAGAGCATGTATAAAGCAGTAAAAGACAATGCGCCTTGTTGGTTTTTGGTTTTTTTTTTTTGAACAGCATCTGTTTGCAGCTGCTAATAGAAATAGGTCACAGGATGGATTAGCTGAAGTAGTCAAAGGGGCATGATAAAGATGTTATAGAACTGCAGGGTTTTTTCAGTGCATTTAACAGCTTTCTATGTGGTAAAGCTTAGACCCTAGCAATTTTCTGACCCTGCAGTAGCAGACCAGGTGATTGAGGTGACGTTGTGTTGAGCCAGACCCCTTGCTAGCTGCTGCAAGTTAACTACATCAAGCTAAGTCCCTTGGCCTGGCCTTGTTAGGGCAGCTTGAGGTCGTTAATCCTTACCAGCAGGCAGTTCTGCTGCTGTTTACTTGAATGAGCTGGAAGAAGAGCCTGTGGTGCAGTGTCTGTGCTTCAGTGTTTAATTTGTCACTGCGGTGGGATGGGACGAGCACTGCTATGGCAAAGCAACTGGGGGAGAAGGAGGAAATCAAGCTGTTGCTGCTGCACAGCATTTATCTGACAGAGAGACGCTGAGGCATCGCTGTCAGCTAACCAGTCTGATGGTGGTAGATCACAGGTCAGGGCTGTTGCCAGGAAGGTTGGTGACGTTATTCAGAGGCTGCTGATATCCAGAGTCCAGCGAGAGGGTGAGTTATGGGTGTCTTTGCACAGGTGTGGACCTCAGATTATATTAATGGGACATGGTTGGCCTAAGCTAGATGTAGTCACTATTTGCTAAGGTGAAAGGGATGGAGATAGAGTACTGAACAGCTTCTCCCTCCCTGTGTGATCTGTAATGCATGCTGTGTCAGATAGTGCTCATGAAAGAGGCCACAGTTCCCTCAGAGAATTGATAAATTTTCCTTGTCTTGTTTATTCATTATCTCCTAGGCCAGGGAAGCATATTATTTTGATCTGGGGAAGGGTATTTTGCCATCGTGTTGCAGTGTTTTGCCACCAGATTTCCCTGTGTTAAGTGATCTAGAAATATGTGGGATTGCTGAGTTTCTAAAGATCCTTTTCTTCTCTGGGGGTTAGGAATAGGATGGCTGTTCCTTTAAGCCTCGGGTAACCCATTAGCAAAGTATGATTTCTGGTATTATTCTGGAACAACTTATTTTAGTGAATGCTTGGAGAAGTTAACGCAGGGGAGTTATAGTAGAGTCTGCTTTGGGAATGAGAAGGTAAATGGGATTGTCTTATGGAAAGATGTCTTTCTCATCATTTGTCTTCTAGTAGAAAATTAAGAGACTCATAGGAGCGTTCACTGTCCTTGCTGATCTTATGTGATTAAAATAATTGAACCCATGGTAACTGTTTCTCTGTATTTTGCGGACCTATGGAAGGTTAGAGAAAAATGCTTGGTTTAAAATAATAATTAAAAAAGCATCTTCATAGCTGACTGCCTCTGAAATGTCCATACTCTATGCCTTCTACATGCTATGTCCTCCATTTTATTTTTCTAGAGCATTTTCAAGAAGCTATCCTGTTACATCCCAAACTCAATGGAGTTCTGATGGAATTAATTCAGTATTTCAGAAAAGACCTGCTGTAGTTGAGGCTTTTTTTTTTAGTGCTTACCATGACATTTGCACTGCAGCATCATAGAAAAGTCCCTCCAAACTCATGCAAATTTTTAGATGCCCTCTTTTGTCTATAGAAGATCTATATAGGGATCTTGCATAATATTCACAGTCTGCAGGATCATCCCCTGTTCGTAGCTGCTCTATTAAATGTTGTTCAACTTGATCCATGGGCAATTAAAAGCCTTCTGGTGATTGTTTCCTCACCTAGACCACCTCTCCCAGTGCTGACCATGATGTATTGTCTTTGGTACTTTGGTACTTTGTGGGTGCTCATACCCTACAATGCGTTTAGGTTTGGCAATGGGAACACTTGCAGAAATAGTGCTCTGATTCCTCCGGCTGTGGGTAGGAGCTGAGGTTCTTATCGGGGTGGCATACTCAGCCCCTTCTCCTTAGATAACCCTAGAGAAGAGCTTCTGTTCAAATACTGGATCTGTAGGTGTTTGTCTTCCAGCCAAATATATCATGGGACCAAACATATAGTAAGTCCCTAAAAAGAAAAAGTCCTGTATCCTGGAAGCATGGATCTATGCTAGATAGGATGGGTGCTCATAGCATGGGTGCTCTGCTAGATAGGTAGCAGTAAGCTCACATTTACTCAAAAGGGAAACTTCTTGCTGTAGAAAACACCAGCGATTCTGATTTTAAAATCTGGTTGTATGTGAACCCCAGGTACTTCAGGGCAAGCATATTAGAGCTAATTTGTAACATCAGCAGCTTTGTAATCAGTTGCTCCAGTTTGTCTTCTGCCCAACAGGGTCACATGAGGAAGGGAAATGTGGATGAAAACCAATACAGTTGTCATTATCAGTTGGCCAAGAGGCTGGAGAATTGCCTACTGAAATACTCAAATAATGAGAAAAAAGTTAACAACATACCAGCTTCCTCTACTGCCTTTAGTTATCATGACCCCACAGTACCGTTAACAAAGGTCAGAGGACAGTCAGCTTCCAGTACTAACAGAAAGCAGAGGAAAATAATCTAACACCAAAAGCAGACTCTTGTAAAAAAATTTTTAGAAGAACTAACAAAGTTCTTTAAAATATAAAGCTAGAAATAAAGCAAAGTACGTGCTTGAGTAAAGGACTAAGATTTTCTGTGGTATTAAGGGTGTTACATTGTCCGTGTGTGCATTTCTTAGCAATGGAGCAGGAAGTTCAGGAATAACTGGAGAAGAAAACTGCTAAAACATAATTCTGTTGCTAAAACTTTTCAGTAGAGCTCTTAATACCATGTCATTACAGACTTCTGAGATGTTGCTCATCAGTCCTTCTTGCTTATCCTATGCCATTGTGCTTATTGAACGCAAGTATTGCAAGTGAAATGCTTCAATACATTGAATTCCAGACTAGAGGCGGTGTGCTGGGGTCAGGAAGTTAGCAATAAGCTTACAAATGAAGTTATATGTGGTTGGGTTTTTTTTGTTTGCTTGCTTGGTGTTTTTGGCCAGCATTTTCATGTGTAAGCTGTTCTGTCAGGTAACTAATATCCCAGTGTGGGCACCAGAGCTTTTGGGAGACACGTGGCTTCCAGGTTCCTATTCTGTTCTCATCCTGAAATGTTCTGCAAACACTTTCCAGCCACTTCATCCTACACATGTTGCTTACTGCATCATGGCAGACGTGTGGCTGCAGCCCTTGCAACCTCCATCTGTCAGGCACTTTGTCTTCGCCTAAGTGCCCCCTAGTCCACTCCTTGCCATGACCTTGGCAAGGACAGCTACTTCTGACTTTTTTTTAGTCATATATGCAAAACTAAAATGTTTGGACACCTGGGGCCATATTCTTAGTTGCTTTTGGCTTTTTTGTAGCACTTGATTGGCAGCAAGAGATAAGATAGCATCTGGATTTGGCTGTCCGTCACCTAAGGGTGTGCTTGGTGAATGTAGAGTTGGCATAGTTCATCCAAGGCCACGGTTTAAATTTGTGGGGATGGAGGTGAGCAACAAATAGGCTACGCACCATAGCTCTTCTCTGGCTGTATCTGTGATAGCAACCCCAAATCCCCTCTGATCTCTTCTGGTGATCAGGAAAGAGTAGCTATGCCCTGAAAATAATGGGTTTTAATGTGCTTTTCTATTGTGCCCCTTCTCTGCTACATTAAACTGCATCTTAACACAGCAGAGCATCTGAGCTAGTCAGTAAGTGCCAAATGTTCCCATTTTCCCCTCTATGCTATTTTTCAAATACCACTGACATCCTTAAAACCCTCACCAAGGTGCTGCTAAACTGTTAAATCCTATTTTGTGCCAGCAGGCCCCAGCCTAAGCACTAATGCCATCCCACAGCTAATGAGCTGCTAAGAGCTGTATCGGATGTTTGAAACCCCAGGGGTGCTGGGTCCTGGAGTTTAGAGCCTGACCTGGAAGCAGTCCAAGCAAAAAGAGATACCTTTCCAAAAGGATAGTAAGTGCCTTATTTCCCAAGGTGTTCGTTCACTTGATCAAAATCCTAGTTCTTCAAATAGGTTCTAAGATATATGTATATCACGGACCTAGTACACATTCAGAAGAGCCTCAGAATTACAGTCATGAGGCTTATGTTATAATTAGTTCCAAAGTTAGGTGTTAGTCTGGTTAGGGAGTAGTCTGAAATGTGGAATATACTCTCTGCCTGCCTATTCTTACCAGTTAGGTTATTTTCCAAAACCCTGTGTTACAAAGACAGAAAAAGGCTTTCTTGCTCTTTACATTACAGATATAATTGAACAAGGAAGGAACAGCTGTGATCTAGCATATACTTAGTTAAATCACTTACAGATTCTGCTGGTGTCTTGTATTTACCTGTGACATGTTTTTCTATAATCTACTTTACTAAAATCAAGAAAAATAGGGATCATGTGTAATGATGCATTAATTAATACTGAGTTTAAAATCAATTCTAATGATATTTAGTGGGAACACTAAGGGAATTTGTTTTAATCTTTGTTTTTACGAAAAATAAGATGAATTAATGATGAGACAGATGGAAGATGGTCAATAGTATTATATTATCATACTTTTAAAACAAATTGTAGTAGGATAAAAATCACTACAGGCAAAAAAATAAAAAATTAAAAAATATGTAAAGCCTGTAATTGATTTCCTCTGAGAAGAACAAAGTAATACATTTAAAGTTTACTGGCACTTTTAAGTTCTCCTCTCTTATCCTCCCTAAGGTGCTTTTTTTGTGTGTGTTTGTGGTGGGTTTTTTTTCCTGATTTGCTTGTTCTTATTTTTGGGGATATTTTAGTTCTTTTACTCAGGATAAAGGGAAAATTTAACAAATATTAAAGGATATTTGCTTACCAATCTGGGTATTTAAAAATTAGTTAGGAATGCGTGCTCAGGGTCATAGCCGTTCAGTGCTGAGACCTGAGATGAGTTGGGCACCTCCGCGCTAGGTGTAATCCAGCTGCCCAAGGATGAATCCCATGCAGCAAGCAGCTGTCAAAGCTATTCATTAGGAAGTGCTGAGGACATAAGGACAGCTCAAATCCCGCTCCTCTAAAATCTGAACATCTTTCATCATCACATGCCTCTTTTTATGGGGGCCCTGCGGCCCCGTATCTTTCTTTAGGACAGCTACACGGAGTATCTAAATCCCTGTAACGCCTTTATATTGTCTAGCTTCAAAAGAACGATTCAAACCACCTACTGTGCAAGATGGCCTGATCTTGCAACCATTTTAAAGTAAAATAGTACTTCCCTTTTGGACAGGAAGTTTTTGGGACGTTTCAGCAGTCAGTATTAAGTGTTTCACTGTTAGCTGTTAGTGAGATCTCTTTTTCCATGGCAGGCAGCCAGAGGTCTGTCTCAAACCCTGGTCCCTCAGGCAGCTCAAATCTTACCTAACGCATCTCTGAGTTCGGCTCAAAGTAAAGCCATTGCCTTTTTTCCCCCCCCGCCTTTTTTTTTTTTTTTTAATTGCGGCTATGCCAGTGTGAATTGCTGCTGTATATGCACCCCATTCTTGTACTGTTCCTTAGACATCTACTTTGAACCACTCCTGAAGACCAAGTACAGGCTAGATGGACTGTATCTGCCCCAGGCAAGCCCTCTTGTGTTCTTGTAGTAGCCTGCT